CAGTGACTTTTGATGCCTAGCAGTTTAGTTCTAGGAAGGGAGCCAGTGATAATGGAGGTAAATAGCAGGCAGGAGGCTGCAACTTTTATTTAAAATACTTTGCAAGATAACATCTCGGTAGAACATGCACTTCTAATTCACATCTAGTTAGTAGGGCATAGAGAAAAAGAACATTGCTCGGTCAAATTAAAGCAGCAAAAGACACGTCTCATGAATTGTTCCTCGAACTCTCTGGTTTTACGTAGTGTTGTTTGTAGACATGACTGTCCAAGAGTCATTACTCTTGTCGCAGTTTGCCTAGCTATCTGAGGCAAAGTTTAAATACATTAACTTGGGAACGCCTGAAGAACATGGTATCCTGAAAGTCGGTGTGTGACATTTATCCTACGGAGTTTGGCGCTGCTGTACAGCATCGCTCGAAGTGCCTTAGCTAGCTGTTTAGTTGAAAGCTGTTGGGATACTCTTGGTGGAAAATTAGAGTTAGAAGCAGTCCTGATGTCTCAGTTGGTACAGATTAGTCCCAGGATTTAGGACTAGCAAAGTGACTTAAGTACTAAATCCCTGCCTTTCCCCTCTAGCCTTGTTCCAAGCTCAGCTGATTTACGGGACCAAACTTAAAGACTTCCAGCTAATGAAGAAGATGCAGAAGGAAGCTGTTTGTATAGCTTGATTTACCCTGATAAAATGAACAATATGTGTATTATATACCAACAACAAACATATGTCATCAGTCTAGCAAATAATATTGCTTTAGTAAACCAAAAGTATCAGATTTTACAAAACAATGATAGAAATGCTTTTGGCTGATCTCAGACCTAGAGAATGAGATTGCCAGTGGTAACAACACAGCCAACTAGTTCCGAAGACTGTTAGGCTAAATGAAATAGATGAGAACAGGGAAAGTAGAGCTAATCCTTACTGGTTTTATGTGCTTGATGTGGCGTTTGCACGGGATGCTTGCATGTGCACAGCAATACAGTAATATACAATACCTTAAAAAAATTTAAATCTTGATTTTTTCCAAGACTGGCTAGTCATAAAAGGCACAGCTGCTCATGGAAGGCGTTCCCTAGAAGCAGCAGAGGCATTCTCTCTGCGGTGGAAAGCTGGGGAGACGGGAGAAGTTATAAGATACTTTGGAGGTACAGGATACTTTCACAAATTCGGGCTTGCATGAAACCTTCTGAAGAAGGTTGTGGCAAACGTCTGTGCCCAAAGCAGCCCTCCTCCACGTTCAGGTTCAGAGTGGTGAGAGGCAGATATGTCAGGTTACCACTCAGCAGGAGGGCTGCCGTGGGTTCCTCCGAGGAGGATGGCGAAGGCCGGGCTCGACGGGTCAGCCCCGCCGCGGGCTGCGGGACGGACGAGCTCTGGGCGCGTTGCTGGGCTCTCTCGGCGCAGCTTGCTGAGGTGTCGGAGGACCAGCAGGCAAATGTCCTCCCTCTTCTTTTCCTTTTACTGCGCGTGGACATGCAGATGTGTTTTGTCGTTTTTTTTTTTCCCCCCTCACTGTTACTGTAAGGATAAGCATTCAGTATATTTGAAATCTGTTAAAATACCTGAAGCATTTTGTGTGAAATTTCTCAAGTGTGATTCGCAGGACTCTTAGGGGGCCAAACTTGGGTCTGTTTTGCAATTAAATTCAGTGAGAACAAGGTTAAGCCCTGGTGCTTTTGTTTACAATGTGGTCTCTTGCCAAGATATGATCCTCGAGGTTTTCTTAAGGGAGGACTGAGTAAGACAGTAAAGAAAAGTTAGTAACTGGTGGCGAGAATAAAGCGATCGTAAAGAATATGTTGAAGTAAATGTTTTATGCGAGCGCGTTTGAAGAAAACGGCGTCGGCCCTGGCAGGAGTGCCCTCTTGTAAAAACCGGTAGGTGCCCAGCACCGCCGGCGAGTGCCC